ATACTTGACAAGTCTTTCAACAAGTGCATAAATGTTTTGCTAAATATTCTGCGTAAAAATTCGTCTCATGTTGACAAGAGTCGTACTCGCTTGATGAGCAGTTTCTCAAAATATACAGTTGTTTCTATTTTATTGATTACAATTGAGAAATTCATGCAAATAAATTTTTGATAGATATTAGGGTCGATAAATGCTTGGAGGATGAAACTTTGCAAGATGATCACACTTATACATGAAATACTTATTGTTAGTATTACATTACTTCAACAGTCGTAAGGAAAGAGAAATGAATGTACGTAGAATCAAATAGATAATCCCGTGCATCATGTTGTTCATATTCGCTGTTTGAACATTTCACCCCGCCAACCATTTAACGAAGATTTCGGCACGTTGATTTCAGCTTTTGATGGTCATCAAAATTTTGTTCAATAGATGCCTCATTCTCGAAGCAACAAAACCTATCGAATAAATGCGGAGACAAAAATTCGAACATCTAAACTAAAAATGAACTATCTATTTAAGTCCTCTTTTCAATTCTTACAAGAATAGTAATTTGAAGCCTGTTATTTTAACATATTACAAAAGAATTAATAGAAGAAAAACACCTTTTATATGTCTCTAACTAAAGAGAAGGCTTTTTTCAGTTCCAGATGCCATATGATGAGTTATTTGAGAAATATGGCATTTGATAAATAATTTATTTGCTTGATAAACTATAAAATCAATTTTTGAAAAAATTTTCAAAGACTTAAAACAAAAACTTCGTCATAACAAGTTACCCACACCCTAGTTGATAGATATCAACAGAGATGAGAAGATCAGTGACAATTTATACTCTGCGAATGACGAATAACTTCGAGTCGTACGAAGATTATCAGCTGCGGATAGATTGTCATCAAGACAGTAAACTTCTTTTCATCCTATATCTACTGTGGTCATGAAGAACCAGGTGAATCGTGAGTTATTCGAGTGACTTTCTAGTTCAGACTATCTTTCAGGATTAAATCAACCTTTATTGACGTGAAAAAATCATCTCTAAAAATGCATGATACTACAATTGGGATCTGTTATTTCATGGGGGCAATAATCAGGTATGTCAAAAATGCCTTTTGGCAAAAGATCAGCATTATCAGAATAAAATGAAAAATCGAAATGCACAATATCCAACCATCCAAGGCGACACGGTACACCTGTTTCGACTGAGGTTAACCACGAAAATGTTGCAACATCGGGTATAGCTTTTGTCCATGAATGACATGCATGTTCCATCACCGAAACAATTCCATCGTAAGTAGTCTCATTACCAATTTGTAACCAATCTATGTAGAAAAACAAAAAATGTACCATTTTACGAGTAGATATGTCATTAGAATCTTTATAGTGTGCCGAAGATGTGTCATGAAACGATGTTTCTTCGATTTGGATTCTTGAAAACTGTATCGTTTTTTTGTTCTCATAGAAACTGCATACTCAGTTAACTGTAAAGTTCTCTACACCGTTATACGTGTGTTATATTTCTTTGATGGCAATTGGGAAAGATATGGAAATACGCAAGGATGATGTTCACCAGATTTATCTTGCACATATAGCTATCCTTGATTATTCTATTTATGATATTTTCTATTTAAGCTATTTAAGAAGGTTCGTCTTGCTCGCCAAAGATAACATTCGTTAGAAATCGTTCTGCTATTAAATAATTGGGAGGAATATTATCCAAATAAAAGACTACTGCTTGTCTTTCGGTTTTGACTTTTTTGATGCCTCTCAGTCAAATATGGCTAGTTTTCAAGATTCTCTCCTTTGTATTTTGTCTAATGCAATGTATCGTTATATATTCTATCATCTATGTAGTTATTATTACCTGGTCTTGGTGGAGTTACACCGGTCTGTTCTGGATCGATGCAACACGTTCGATTTGCACGTTCTAATCGCCAAACGGTATCTTCAATATGAAATATCGTATATGTGTAGGAGTCGTCTCGCATTAAGTTCATCACTTGTGCTTGCCGTCTCCAATCATAAAAGATTTGTGCACCTGCTGTTTGATTATTATATAGACTATACGAACTGCCACTTGTCATCCAAACTAAAGGCCATCGTGGTGGTGAAGGCGATGGGAACCGAATAGCAACAACACCAGTGTGTAATGTAAAGAGAAAAACAAGGAACAACTTACAGCACATGTCAACAGTTTTGAAAGTAATGATAGAGAATCTTTTGCTTATCTATCTGCAAAGAATGTTGATAGCAGATAAAGAAAAAAACGGTGTGAATTGACTGATTCACTTTGATATCTTATTGCTCTTATAACTGTGTAATTGCTTTTTCATAATATCGAGCTGTGGTAGTTCTTGATGCAAGAAGAGTTGATTCAGTTTCAATATTAGTATTTTTATATAATTTATTTTACTATGAAATGATCTTATTAGTAATACTTCTGATCAATATAATTAATTAGTGAAAATCGTAACGATGATCTTTATAAGCCAAGCTTGAATTACGGTTTCTAATTAGAAGACTCTATAGGAATCCAAATCCTATTAGAGATTTTGTTAGAACAGTACATAGTATCTATAGGTAAAATATCATTGAAATTGAAAGGGCATAGCTAAGAAGATTCCCTTGTTGGTGAAAATACCGGAGCTGTCGATTGAATTTCTGTGAAACTGACAAAACAACACTTAATTCATCGGATAATCTGAATCAATCGAATCCAGCAATTCTTCTTACGTTAATATAGCTTAGAAAAACAACTGATTTTTTTCTTTAGCGAGAAGAAATGCTTCGGACGCTTCTAAATATTTTCTAATATTCTCATTTTCAAATAACACACCTCAAAATAAAAATGATAGTTACATTTACAATAAACAAGCATCTTGTGATGATATCAGTGTAAATACTGAACAAAAATATGTTCTCAACCAATTATTTGACACAATATTGTTGGTGATATTCATTTGTCTCTCTTTGGTAAATATGCACTTTCAACTTACAAGAATTTCGTTTAAGATTATTAAATTCCCATCCAATAATTTACGAGCCAAACAGATTACAGTTGAGGAAAAAAAGTTTGATTTTCTTTCAAATCTTATATATTCTGTCGTTGAAAATAATTTTTTAAAATATTTAATTGTCACGCATCCTTCAAAGTTTTTGCCATGAATCACACAACTAAGATTCAATCCAAAACGAATAAAAATCTTATTTTATATATGTATCCATTGTTTTTAAAATGGACTAAATTTTGTTCGATTAATTTGTGACTCTGCGAATAATGTCATTTTTTTTTTGTACACAGCAAAGGATGGGGGCGTATAAGGGTCATTTTTGGGCCCTCGCTAATTTTGGTTGGTTCATGATCTACTAGATGTAGAATTTCACGAGGAATCGTTTCGTATCAAAATAAAGTTGTTTCAGAAGAGTCTAGATGGAATTTTGTTGAAAATACTAACATATATTTTGTACCATAAANAAAAAAAGTTTGATTTTCTTTCAAATCTTATATATTCTGTCGTTGAAAATAATTTTTTAAAATATTTAATTGTCACGCATCTTTCAAAGTTTTTGCTATGAATCACATAGCTAAGATTCAATCCAAAACGAATAAAAATCTTATTTTATATATGTATCCGTTGTTTTTAAAATGGACTAAATTTTGTTCGATTAATTTGTGACTCTGCGAATAATGTCATTTTTTTTTTGTACACAGCAAATTTCTTCTCTCATTTCATCAATGAAAGAATTTCATACGTAATAATTCAAAACATTCAGATCAAGCTTGTTGGATAGCTATCTATAATTGTTTATAAAATATATAAAATTTTCCTCACAGAATGCCAATAATTCCTGATGTATACATAAAATGGCATTATTTTTAAAACACCCTTTAAGTGATAAGAAGAAAAAAAACCATACGGAAATTAGCTTATTGTTCTTATGTAAATAATTAGAAAAAATATTAAAAATATAAAAATAACTTTCTGGTCAATATGACATTCATTTCAATCTTTTTACTCATGTTAGTTAATTTAATAAATATACAAACATCTGAAAATGATATATTAAATTACTGTTCTCGACAAGTTGGAGGAAACTTCAAGCAAAATCAGACTATGGCATGAGTAAAATCTTTGTTTGCAAATAAAACAATGAATTCATATTGGTATCTCTTTTGAAACTTTTCTGTGCATATCTAAGAGATGAAATAAAACAATATTTGATAGCTAAAATGAAAAAGTAAGATCATTTTATTTTAAATAAAAGTATATTTTCAAAAGGATTCAATTAATAATCATGAATTGAAATATATATTTATTGACAATATAAGACTTTATTTTTTATACTTCTCTACACAATAAAACTACAGAAAAAAATCAAAGATAATTCATAAGATAAATAGTAGTGTTTCATTGACATATTATTTGTTTACTAATGATGCTTACACATTCTGTTTCATATAAATCGTTTGATCTCAGCATGCATCAAACAAAATGTTGTTTCTTTTTTCTGTTACTATGTAAGTTTCTTCATTCATTGATCCGGAAGAGTAATGAATGAATTCATCTCTCTTTTCTTTTTTTGCACCTTACACTGTTGTAACAACAAAATTTTTATTGCTTAAATATTCATCTTATTTCTGACTCTTTTTAATTTGATTGTATTTGCCATTCAACCTGATCTATTTCTCTCTCGCATTCTCCTAGATGAATAATATGTCTCAACAGGTGAAAAGTCTACAATATTCTATGAGAGAAGAAGAGGGGTGCCTCTAACACATACATTGAAAAGAGAATAAGAGAACGAACAAACAAATTGAAGAATGTAAAAGAATAAAAACAAAATCTCTTCGATTGGTTAAAATAAACGAGAAAAAATCCACATCATCACCGCCAATCACATTGACGTTTTCTTTCTTATTCACACATCATATAGGTGTTACAAATCAATGTGTCGATAAGTTTATTACATATATATATATATATATTTACATACACAAAAGAATGCCACGTCCAGGAAAATCTTCCTATTCAGATGAAAAACCTCCGTATTCATATATAGCACTAACAGCAATGGCTATTCAACAAAGTCCAGAAAAAATGTTACCACTTAGTGACATTTATAAAGTAAAATAAACAAACAATAAAATATTCATTTTTTTTTTGTAAAATTTAGTTTATAACTGATCGATTTCCATATTATCGTACAAATACTCAAAAATGGCAAAATTCTTTACGGCATAATTTATCATTTAATGATTGTTTTGTTAAAATTCCACGTCGTATTGATCGTCCTGGTAAAGGTAATTTTTGGGCATTACATAGCAAGTACGTAAGTCATAAAATTCAATTGATCTTTGTCATGGTCTATCAATTGTTTGATCATTAACTAATTCTCATTCGATAAAAGAAAAAGAATCACAGCATGAGTTTGAATTGCTAAATAGATGGATTTATTTACATACATTTGCACCCATAGCAATTAGATGAAAAGAAATTACTTTTGAACACGTGTATGTTTTGCAAATAGTTTTCATTGTTGAATGATTAATCAATATGAATGTGCAACTGAGTGAAAAAAGTTCAAGGTTTTAATCTTTAATAGATTTTATGGGAGAAAAAAAAAAACACCGATAAAATTCAATTGTTTTATTACTATACTGATTTATATAAAATCATACAAGAATAGAATATGTTAAAGATCGATATTGATTGTAGTGATGTATCACCCTCTCAAATAATATTTTTCTGGTTACGTCACTAATTATTAGACATCGATTTGTATTAGTAAAATATTCCTCTAAAACGTCCGGTCAACTTTTGCAGCAATGTTCTAATTGACCTTCTTGGGTCCTCGATTCTATTTCTGGTAAAACCGTTGATTGTTCCGGAAGGATAATCTGTTTTGTTCTTGTTAGTCAGATCGCTGATATTTGTTAGGAGTTGAATGGAGGGTGTGAACAAAGAGCGAAGCCCATTGTGAATCCGGCTCCTCTCTCAGAACCTGTTTTAATCGGATTAATTGAAGATCGATATTTTCCGAAGTTTTAGATTGTAGAAATATTAATTTATTCATGTTGAAGAAAATTATAAGATGCAATCAATATTGAGTATCATTATTTTCATTCTGACCATGCCGCTGTTTTTTAATTTTTTTTTGTTTTTGATAAAATATGACAATAACAAGAAAGAAAATTGAATAAAACAGAAGCCGTTATTGAAAACATAGAAGTGTGAAAGTACATCTTGTCAAACACTTAACGAATAGCATCTCTTTTCACCTGTTTTCTCTTATATTATAAATATAGTATCGTTCAATGAGCATAGAAAAGCGATAAAAAAAACGATCTCTCTATTTTTTTTTTTGTTTTTTCGTTTGATCTCAGCGGTACATTGTATATAGGTTGTTTGTTAAGTAGCATCTATTACAATCAAGTTTAAGTGAATAAGACTATAATGAGAAATTTGTTTGTTATATTCATTTAAAGGTGTAGTGATATGTTTGAAAATGGCAGTTATTTACGACGACGAAAACGTTTTAAATTATCAAAACAAGAACAAATAAAATTAGATGAAGAGGAAGAAGAAGAAGAAGAAGAAGAAGAAAAATCTATGATGATTAAAAAGCCAATAACAAAAACATCATTTCTTATTGATAATCTTCTTGCAAATGATACAAATACAAATACAAGTTTTACAACATCATCATCATCTGAAACAAATAATAGTACATTACATCAATTACATTATACAACTGATTTCGAACTTCTACGTAAATTGACACTATTTAATGATGTTAAAGGACATCATCATACTCTATCTCAACAATTTTATTGGTAAAAAATAAAAAGACAAAAAAAAAAGAATAAAAGAAACTTGAATTTAGTATAATTATTTTTTTTCTCTTCATGTTGTTAACTTGACACATCATCAATTTTTTTTTTGGTGTTAAAGAAAATGCAGGCATGCTTCATTTACGTCTAATGACTTCTCATAAGATATAAGTATATATTTCTTTTTCTTCTTCTTCTTCTTTTTTTTTTGTTCATAACATTTGGTGTATGTATGATGAAGTTGTCACAAGAAAAAAAAATTGAATAGCTGTCAGGACCTGAAAGACATGACTTGATTGGAATACAGATGATGATGATGATGGATGAACACAAAAAAAATTTATATATATATATATAAAGTATTATAATCACCTGAGAATATATTCAAGCATTTTTCTTTGTCATCTTGTCTTGTCATTATCATTATAGAGCGTTCGATGGCGGATGAAATCAAAGAGAAATGAATAAAATTATCTCTCAAGAGAGAATTAAAAGATTTTTCATCTATTCGAAGCTTCAAAAAGAAGAAGAGAAAAAAAAACATGATTCTCTTTGTTTTAAATTGCTTTTTTCCTTTTCCGTATTTGTAGTTCCGATCTGTAAATTAATGTAATAATATATTATTGTATGTGTATGAACTAATTAATCTTATAATCAAAGATTACAGGAAATTAAGACGAATTTGTTTTATGAATATTTTGAAATTGATGTTTTGTATATTCCATGCAACATAAAGAAAATCAATCTTTACGTAAATATGATATAATGAAGATCTTGAAGTTTTTATATGATTATCAACTCTTTGTATTATTGAATTTAAATGATAAGCTCTATATGAGACGATAAAAAAGGATTAGATTATAGTTTCCATAGCTAGAGCCATCTTCGTTCGCGTTTTCTTTCTTCTATTACATTTTGGTATATCGCTCATTGTCTCGGAGTTTTAAAAAGCTTTTACTTCTTTCAACAGTAACGTCGTATGAACCAATGAGTAGTATACCTTTAGAAGTGGCGATCATTGTAGTGAGTTTGAATATATGATAATGATAATCTACAATTACATTATTTGAATAATGTCATAGTAATCTTTTTGCGATAGAAATAGTGTTAATCAGAATAATATAGATCACTCAAAAACTGGAACGTTTCGATGTGATTCAAATCAGACGAAAATCAATTGCCAATAGTTGTTTTGCGATCGGTATGGAATATAAAATCTCTAAAATCAAAATACTACTATTTATGGCCACATATCATTCATAGAAGTACACTGATATATATATATCAATATACGAAAAAAAAATTTTTTAACCTGTATTGAAAATATTATCATATTGGAAAAGAACAATCTATAGCGGTGCGGCTTATGAAAGAAAAGCAATCCATGTACTCATTATTGTCTCAAAATGTTCATCAGTTAACTATCATCATCAGGATACATAAGCTACCCTCTTGCAAAATCCGCTAATCTTTCTGTTTGATTTTTCATAGATATAGGGTATGGGTAAAGAAAAGAAACATACTCTCTGTGAAAATCTGGATTCAAGTCTGACTTTTGGGCTAAAAGCAAACTCATAGGATTTTCATTGAAATAATCATAGGATAGATGAAATTGTTCTTTTTGGATTAACATAAAAGCGACGTGTCTAGTTTGTTCCATTCAAGAGCTATAAGAGTTTCATAGAGATACTCGATTAGATCAGTTCAGAAAGGTCACAGTGAAACTCAATTTGATTAATTACTTCAGTCTTGACTTTTTTCGAAGTAATCCAAAAGCAGCAAGTGATTAGCTTTTGTTGTTCGAGAGATATTTAAAAAAAAATATGCATGTTCACTATGTGTTGACAGTGATTGTAGATTAAACCTATTGTACAAAAAAAAAGTCAATGTTCATCACAATATTTAGTTAAACAATGTTTCTTTTTAAAGAATTTCTCAATTATTTAAACAAAGCAGCTAAAGATTTTAGCGCAAATATCTTGACAACACTCATTGTTCAAAATTAGTGGATTATTAAATGAGAATAGGCTTGTTAATCAAAATCTTTTATTATACAAATAATAACTAAGACAAAAGAAAAACCATGATTAACGAAACCAATTTGATAGTCCAGGTCGATGAATTGTTGTAGCATTTTCTTTATTAGTCACTGACATCATACGTTTTTCATCTTTAGCAAGTTCATCAAATGGCATTCGACCACGCCATACATCAGGATATTCAAATGTTTCATTTTTCTACAAAAATATTTCAACAAAAGAAATAAAAGAAAAAGAAAAATTTCTTTTTTTTTTTTTTACCAAGAATACATAAGCAAATTTTCGATCTGGATCAGGATCAATTATTTCTGATGAAACTGGATGACGATTTTCTTTGCCTACAAAAAACAAAATCACTAGTAAATATTAAATAAAATATTATATTATTAATACCTTGTTGAATAATCGTTGTTACATCAAGTACATCAATTTTATAAATCTTTTCTAAATATTGTTTTACATCGTTTTTAGTCATTCTAAAAAGTATTTAAATATATATAATATTAGTAAATAAAAATATACTAATTTCATACTCAATATGACATTCAAATCGAACAACATTTGGTCTTAATGGACGATTTTCTTCGGATCTCATAATTCTCATCCAAAATTGAGGAAAAAAAATTCGATGTTTTGGATCACCAGGTTGCCATTTTGGATATCGAGGTGTCATTGATTTATAAAGATATTGACTAAATTAAATAAATATTATATAGATATGAAATATAATTTTTCTTACAGATATGCTGGTAAACGCATTTGAATTGAGTATTATTTCAACTAAGATGAAAAAAATCAGAAGAAAAACCAATAAGTGCAAATAGACTTGACTACTATAGAGTCCATCTTATACGCATAGTGAGCACACACAATAGGGTGTTAGCAATGGTAGTTGTCGCTAGTTGATGATTAATTTTTGTTAACATGTTTAATTTTAGATAGAATAAGGATAGTTATGAACACACATTCTATTTTAATAGCACTATAGTACTTAAGCCACTAATAGCTGACAAATTCAAATATATTATCACTAAATAGTAATTTAATGTTAAGGTTCTTTCATAAATGACATGAGTTTTTATGTTTCATCTCATTTTTTTTCAAAAACTTTGAGTATTCTTTGCTTGAAAAGCATGTTGTTTTTTTCGATTGAACACTTCAAGGGCTGAATTGTAGCCATGGCTTATTTTTGTTTGAAAGAGCATGTAAAGATATAGGGAATGATAGTGCCTCATTTTTGTTAGTTTTTCAATACATTGAACTTTTCAATTTTTTTTGTACCATTAAATAGTAAGAGTTTGATATTGACAAAAAATACACCATAATGATGAAAATTTTCAGACACCGACAAAACTTAATTCACAGTGCGCGTTAATCGATTTTTCCCTGGCGTTTTTCTTCATTAGGACTATTCAGTGTATCCTGTAACTTTCAGCTAAAATTTGTTGAAAAACTAGAAATATGTTTCGCGTTCTCTTGTTGCATGTTACAGTCTTTCGTTCTAGTCAACATTGAACATCTGAAACTAGCTTTTTTTCAACATTTTCTCTATCAACATGAATTATGAATAGTCCTTTACTAAGAGGAGAAATATTGTAACAGACTTAATGAAAAAAAACGAAGGAGGGCGGGGGGTGGAATATCAATTGGTACACACGATATTCCAGACTTTTCATGAAAAGTGATGACCGGGGACAAAGTGGAGTAGCACGACAAAGGTTGCCCTACTATCCCTCGAGGGCTCAGTAAATCTTGAAACAAGTTATATGAAAAAAAAAGCAAAAGATTCTTAGAGATTGTCTGGGCATCCTTCATCGATATGATCACAAGTAACGCTCATCGACAGTCGATTTACTTCATCGTAGAGTGGCGTAATCACAGTTGCACTAAAATTTGAACCAATTTTGCAATATTTTAGGTTGCTCGTGCTCTGTCTTTAGTTCCTGACCAATGAGCTAACACGAGTAGCCAAAAATAGGTCTGAACGACCACGAAAATGCTTAAAGTCTCCAAAACGATAGTAAGATTGACGACATCCATAGTAGAAATGACCAAATATGTGTTTTTTTATGGATATATCCATGGGTCTCGCCAGAATCATTCGACAACTACGTCTAAATTCTATGAAACTTTCAGAATTCGTAGAGCTTTTTTGCGCTGATCATGTTGGTTATAAAATCTTTATATTTGACCTCAGCAGTCAAGTAATGAACATGAATTTGTGTAACAACCAAAATATGTAAAGAACATACAGATGTAAAAATAATGAGACTCATGAAATGAGTATGACTTTATAACAAGAAACGGAAGTAATGAAAATTAATAAACGATTTTTATATTATGAAATAAGCTAAAGTATCTAATGCATCAGTTGCAAAAATAGAAAAACTATTTAGATATTTTTATTTGTTTTTTCCATTTGTTATGTTCTGTTTTATTTAATGCACTAATAGATACACTAAATCAAATTATCATCTCTATTACAGATCCTAAAAAGACTTCTTAATAGATTCTAGACTTGATAGTTATTCTTTCGTTATATATCACTTTTAAAGGATTTTTGGTATAAAAAATAAAATTCTTGTCAGATGGAGGTAAACACATATGTGAAAGGTTTTATTTACCAAGTTTATCAATGAACGCTAGTCTCAAATGCTGAAATATTCAATGTTGTATGATGAAATATTAAGAATATTAAAAACGTATGACAAAGGACTTGCAAAATGAACGAATAAGAAAATACGATAAAAATGATATAAGAGAAAAGTAATTCTGAGATTTTTTTAAATGTTAGTTTTTCTTGTTTGTTTAAAAGTGACATCATGATTAATATTTCTTATCACAATGAATCTGTAATTATAAATAATGATAATTTATTTTGTTTTTGTTATTAACCCTTTGGGGACGGGCGTGGTATATATATACCACCTGGGATATTTCTCAAAATTTGGGGATGATATATTTCAAATCAATCAGAAGTGAGTGGAAATAGCCTGTAAAGTAATTTTTCTGTGTTGATACAGTAAATTATCAGTATTTCGAAAGTGTCGAAAATATCCACACAGTGTATTTAGTAGCTTATNCGACTCAGTTTTTAACGCTGATTCCGAATTTGATATTAGTTTTGAACCAAATCGTAGCTTTCTAACAAAACATCCCCTGAAAAAGGTCTCAAAATGCAGAAAAGCTGCATGCAAAAAAGCAAATTGCCTAGATATGTCTCAGTTGATAAAAAACAAAGTGAATATACCTCTTCACTTTTTGAAGTACACATAACACTCGGATTTAAATTCGAGATTTTCGCATTTATTTCGTTTTTAATAACAGCATACGTTCTTTGTTGTCTTCTCAGAACATTAATAGCGTATTAAAATTTACGTAATGTGCATAGTCCTGATTCAAAAGCGATTAATCAATTAATAGACTTCTCTTGTAAGAATTAAATGCAATTGAAACATTTAAATTACAATAAAAATATACGATTAAATTTTTTTCGCCGTTGATTGATCAAAAGTATATTCAAATGTTTTTTATGAATTAGAATAAATCCTGCCTTTGTAATAATGTTTAATCAATTGATATTTGCTTTTGTTTTTTTTTTCTAGTTCAAAACAAACAAAAAGATTTACAAACTATTAGAAAAAGTAAGTTAAAATAATTATTTTTGTTTGTCTTTTTTTATTTTAATAATCAAAAAAAAAAAAGAGATTGTCATAAATTGCATGGAGAGTTTTTATAGTATGTAAAAGATGGCACAATAATAGACAGTAGTACTAACATACAAAAAGTTAGTACAAAAACAAAAAGACGAAAATCACTTATCGATACAAGAGATGAAAGAAATAAGGTACCATATGAAGATTAAATGTGCTTTGCAATGCTCTTGTTGCATTTTTCTTTGCTCGATGTGCTCATTGTTGTATCGTCTATAGAGCTAAACAAACTTTTTCTTGTTTTTTTTTTTTTTGTTCGTCTAGGCAACAAATCCATTAATTGGACAAGTTCAAAATAAAACTGAAAAACTTCATACAGCTGTAAGTTAATATTTTTTTGCTGTTTTTTTTTTCGACTTTGTTTTTTTTTTCGTTACTTAGATTAATAAAGCTGGCCAACGTGTTGCTAGTGAAGCATCATCAGTAAGAAATAATTTAACATCATTCGATGTAAGTTAAAATAATAATTATAAAATAATTATTTTTGTTTATTATAATTAGATTAATGATGTTATTAAACGAGTACATAGTTCTAAAATTCATGATTCTGTAAGTTATTTAAATTAAAAATTGTATTTTTTCAAAGTTTTCTTTTTTTATATTTTAAGGTTGCATTAAATGCCGCTCGTGACATAAAATCCATTCATCAAGTAAAATTTTTGCTTTTTATTTAGTTTTCTTTAAATTGATTTATTTTAGTCAAGTTCACCTGATTTACTCAATGAAAAGTAAATAATTAATATTAATTTTAACATTTGATGCAGAACTAGTTAGACTGATGTCAGTCGGTATTCCTCTTTTGAATTACATATAATTCATTTTTTTTTGTTACAAGTTTATAAATGAAAATGACGCCATAGAAAAGAATAGGTATCCTCAAAATGATTGTGCATTTTTATATAATGATATATATACAAAACTTCATTCTCTTGTTGAACTTAAGATCAACAGGAGTTGTATTTAGATCAATAGAGTAGTAATATTGATTTTTCGTAACGTTATCTATAATGAATGTGAAATATTTTTTATCAGCTAAAATAACTCCATGAAACTACTAACAGCCTAGAAGGATTCGTTTCTTCTTTGTCGCTGAATTATAATTGATTTACTGGATTTTCGATGCGTTTGCAAGTAGTTTCGAAAAGATCAAGTGACAGAAGTTTGATTTAAAATTTTGTCTGTCGATAAGTTTACTAATTCATAGAATACTTTGAAAGTTTTAGCCGAAAAGAATGTTTCTTTATCAACATATTAGATTTTCTACAAAAATTTATATTTAATAAATCAATATAAAAATTGCAAGTATTTCTCTTTCTTCGCCTGCTTTTCTCTATATAAACGTATAAAAAATTAAGTTATATCCTATCCATGACGGGTCATTAAGAATTTGGACAAATTCAACGTCCAAAAATATGACCAAGTTTCTGTTATATTAGAAGGAAGTATCTTATTCCATCAATGTAATCATTGGACATACTTTAGCACAGAAAACTCCATCGAAGAATATAACATTTGTTAATTTTTAAAAGAAAAATTTCTTCCGAAAAAAGTTTAAGATGACGATCGCCTCGCATATTTTTTATGGAAAATTTTCTTTTAGGGGCTTCACTTCTTTTATCTGTTGATAAAAAAAAAGTTTTTTTTGCTAAAGCACCTAATCTATCAAAGAAAAATAGTGTCCAATTAATCTTGTATCACATTTTTTTTATCATAAATAAATAGTCTTAGGTCTATTCCTTATGCACGAATGCATTCAAAAGAAGATATATTCTCTTCTGAACCACAATTAATTAATGATGATCAAATATTATCTTCATCATCGGATTCATCACCTTCATCAACACCTGAACTTGAACGACATAGAAGTAATCCATTAATAAATCTTGAGACTGATGATGATGTATGATTAAATTTTTTTTTTTCTTTTGTCTATAGAAAAATTTTTCTTTTCTATTTTGATAAATTAGAATCCATTATTGCCAGCTCCTGTTATTCTAAATGTAATTAATACTTCTTCGACACCACCAATTCAACGTTCAACTCCTCAAATAGATTCCAAAATAAAACAATTACAATATGAACTTCAATATAAAGTTCAAACATTTGATAGTAAACGTATTGATCCTCGAAATGAATATGGACAACAAAAAGAAATAAAAAAACTTGTTGAACAATTTGATCCACTTGATGACCCATATTATTCAAATAAAATAAAGAAAAATTCAAATGAATATGTTTCTTCAATGGCTGTTACATTTCGTTTTGATGATAAATTATTATCAAATACGTCTGATCGTCATCCATCTGTTTATGAAGCAATACCAACAAATTGTGTTAATAATGTTCTACAAAATATACAAACAACATATGGTACAGCAAGTCGAACCAATTTACGATCAACTTATTCTATGCAAACAAAATCCCAAGAAAATAATTTAAATCATTTTTCTCCAGCATCAACTGCACCTGCTAGATTATTTCCAATAAAAACATATACAAGTATTACAGATGATGCAGCATTAAATTTTGATCCATTAGCACCATCAAATGAAAAAACTTTAAATCCTAATATTCCATCATCATCACAGACAAATGGATCGAATTTAATTGATTTTAATTAATAGTTTTTTCTTATTTACGCATTTCTGTTGTCTTTTTTTTCTTTGTACTTCTATTGTCTTTCATAATATTATTTGTCATTTTTTCATTGTGTACTATCGATTTGTGCTTGAGAATGGTGATGACGAACGAAGAGTTTATACAATTATTATTATTATTATTTTTTTTTTGTCTTTATTAATTTTGTGAATATGTTAGTCGATGTACAAGAAAAATACTATTGATATCTTATCATTTACTTGTATACCAATATTTCTTTTATTTCAGACTTGTGGTTTCTTCTATTTCATGTCATTTCAAACACGTCAAATAGAAGAAGAAGAAAAAAACAATAAGAACAAGCAATGGATGATTCAATGATTAATTCAATTTTATTACCATCTTCAATTCATCTTGAAAATCTTGAAAAATTAATTAAAAATCTCGAAAAACAAACATTCAATGTAGATAATTTTGAAAATATATTAAATAATGATAATAAACAAGAAATAATAACTAAATCATTTTCATCTCTTTCATCAAGTACAATACCTATTGATGATATAACAGATGAAAATTTTCTCATTAAAAGTATCTCACTTACAAATGATGCTACAATAACTGATCATAATCATGAAAGTTTTTCTATGGATAGTCTTTCAACTCAACGTGATTTATTTAGTAATGATGATTTCAAAAAACAAAAAATATCAGCAACTAATGATCAAAGTTTATGCAATGATCAAGATAGTGGATTTACATGGGATGATCAATATGATACACAAACTAATTATTGTATGACTTTTAATATTGATAAACCTGAAGAAATCGATTCAAAATTAGAAAAATCTTCTAAATTTGAACAACAAACAACTAATCAAAAAGAGAATTCTACATATTCTGATGATAATATACTTTCAAATGTTGTTAACAATATGAATGATTGGTCTATGCAGTCAGATTTAAATACTCTTGAACAATCAATTAATCAATCACAACAAATTCATTCTCAATTTAATCTTCCTTTATCTTCAGATCAACAACAAAACTTGAATAATAATAATTCATCTGGATCATCAACATCATGGCGTCAAATGAAACAAAATCAACGAACAACAACAGATATTGAAACACGAGAAACTCGACCACTCTCACCAATAAGTCTCTATAAAATTTTTCAGCAAAAATCTAATATGATTACATCATCATCTCGAAGTGCTTTTCAATTATATCGACAACAAAATGATTTTCTTGATTCAAATCATATTAATAAAACCGTAACAGAAAAATCAAAACTATCACAATGTTATCCAACTATAGATCAAGCTATTCAAACATCTATTCAAGTTGATTCTTCATCGAACAGTCAATGTCAAACAACATCCGTCATAGGTACATTAACAAAAAAAAAAAAGCCATGAAAATGAATTTTTTTTTTCTTAGAATCTAAATGTAAATCATATGATAATCTTACTGTACCATTTTCAATTTCATCATTGTCTATTCATAAATCTTTGCCTGATCTTTCGTTTATCTCACAATATTCAAAAGAATTACCTCGATCTCATACAACATCACCATTAATACGAACTTCTGCATTATCTATTAATGTTGCTCGTACAACATCATCTCCAACATTAATTCAACAACAAAAACATGATTCAGATCGACCTCGTACACTTAAATCAATTAAACGATATAAAAATAGTAAACATTCTACTGAACCTATAGGCGTTTTTTATAGTCCACAATTACGTAAAACTTTTGCTGCTGTACCTGCATCAGCAGTTATTAATGGATCAAATACATTATCAACAGTAATCAAAATGAAATTACCATCGTCTTCATCATTTCAATCAGAACAACAACAAATATTAAATCTTAAATCTTGTCTAAAATATCAATCGAGAGCTAATTCTTGTGATATTCAATCAACATTTCAAGATAAAAAATTACCAATATCATCATATTCTATTCCTAGATTAGCTAATAACAAAGTAAGAATAGATAAATAATCATAATCATACCAATAGAACTTTATTCCAATATAGAAAATGTTTCTTTGTGTGTGAATCAATATTTAATTTTGGATATTAACACGACAAGTTACAGGAGGATATGGATTCAAGAGAATATTAACTAATTAATAAAAGAAATATTCATTATTTGGCAGTTTAACGAGGTTTCTATTGCTTTTTTAAAATACTAATCAAGATTCACATTAACATTTTGTCATTATATCTTATGTTCATGTGACTATAATTAACTAGATTTGCTTTTTTTTATTTTCTTTTATCTTTCATTAACATGACTAATGTTTACAATGAATTTTATTTTTTATTTTCTAGGATTCAAATATTCCTTCATTAAATCAACATTATTCAAAAATTGATACATTTAAATCTTCTGATATTGTTTATTCAACAAATATTTATTCAGATAATTGTTCGAATAATTTCAATATTTATCAACGACAAAATTCATCTCGTGAACATCATTCTGAACATGATCTTCCATTATTAATTCAACAAGAAAATCAAACAAAAAAAAGTGTTAGTTTTTCTGAAAATATTTCTAAACATCTTATATCATCTTGTAATTCAACGATTACATTTAATGAAAATAAAGAAAGATTAACGAAAAGAACAATCATACGTCATGATGAAATGCGTCGATGTCAAAGTAAGTTATTTGAGTAGGGTCATCTCATTTATTTTATTTATTTGATTCAAAAGAAGAAACTTAATCCAAACGAGATAATGATGATATATATTGCCATTCGTTATTCATATCTTCAATACTAATCCGATACGATAAGGTTTTGTTGTTTTTATTTTATAGCTGACATTATTCATATTGATCCTGTTCTTCATCTACATTCGCTAACTGATAGTCCACCAAATGAATTTTGTTTACAACAAGATGAAGATAATCAAATTTTAATGGAAAATTCTCATATTAATATTATTTCAAATCTTGATGAAGTTGAAACAATAAATACAATTGTTCCATCTTCTCCTCTTAATTCATCAAAGATTAATTCAATTGAAAAAGAAATTCATTTATCTAATCAATCATTTATTTCACAGAATAAATCAATACTTGATGGTATAGATAAAATATCTTTTATTCTAAATCAATACTTTTTTTTTGTTTGTTTAGATATTTTAGAAAGAATTATTGATATAATAAAACGTTTATTTGAAATAAAACAATCTGATAAAGTATAAAAATAAAATTATCAAAATGAAAATTTTTCGATTTGTTTTTTTCTTAAATAGTTATTCTTTCTCAATAATGAAAATAATTTACAATTAGATTCTTTACTTAAAACTGATTTTTGTACAGTTATTCAAAATATTCTTGAACATGGTCGAAAAGATTTTAAAAAAATAACCTTATGGAAAATTATTGAACTATCAATTAGTTCAAATAGTTCATCTTCATTTTCTTCAAGACAAGTTCCTGAAGTTTATTATGAAGCTAAACAAATTGCACATAATGTTTCATCGCATTGGTTATATAGATTTCAAGCATTTATCTTCGTATTATTAAAGTTCGTTTGTCTTTTATTTTTATTTATTTTTATGTATAACAAGGTTGAGAGAGTTCAAATCATAACTGGAATTCGAAAGTTAATAATTGAACACAAAAAAAAAAATGAGTTTTAGAAAAAAAATTTATGTTTTTCTGCATGAAGAAAATTTAACCATTGATCTTACAAAATAACTTGACTCGACTTGAAACTTTGTACAGAGACAAGCGTAAGACGAGAATAGTTTATTATGAAAGTTTCAAGTCTTTTGATAGTCCTTCTTAGAATGGGAGACAGCAACAAGACCTAAAACATTTACAAAAAACTGTTCTCATTAAGGGCTATCTCTGTGCAAAATTTTAAGTAGAAATTCGAAATTTAATTTTCCTGACATGGCTGAGGGAAATTACGGCATTGGCTTAAAAAAAGCACCTCTAAACTCTAGTATCTTTGCAGTAATAATCTACGAGTCCGAACTCTTTTCAAAATATTCCGAGTTCATTTGGTCTTACATAATACACGTAATCTCAACTCAATGACGATTTCTCAGTTAAGGGAAGATTTGTCTCTTTCACTATCACAGACTATATCAATAACGTCTTCTTTTAAGGGCCCCCCATACCTCAAAAAAAAAAAAGCAATTTTCGACAAAAATATCGACTTCGAGATTTATACATAGTTAGATAGCTCATAATCTCTACTTTCGAATGCACTATAATTTATTGGTTTTTGAGGGTTTTACAGCGGTTTTTCTGAAGACTCCTGCATCAATAAAGTTTTTTTTTCGAAACTTCAGTTATTAAAGTTATTAGAACTTTTCTATACGTTTGAAAAAAAGTACGTCGTACATGTCTCTCTATGTGCTCATTCGATTCACCATAGTCGATAACCTATAATAAACTGCCCTCGGTTGTTTTCACTACCACTTTTAAACAAAAAAATCGCGATAATCAAA